ATTTTTTAAAAAGGGGGTGAGTATTCTCGAAAAAAACGTCGTGAGAGCGTGCGAGAGGGTGCGATCACTTTTTGTGACGTAGTACTAAATGGAAACTACTACTACTACTAGTACGACTAGTAGTAGGGAATGGTGGAGAACAACTAGTACTAGTAGTAGTACTACTACTACTAATGCTACAGAAAGAAGAAGAAGAAGAAGACGAAGAACAACAACAACAACAACAACAACAACAACAACAACAACAACAACAACAACAACAACAACAACAACAAGAACAAGAACAAGAACAAGAACAACAACAACTACTACTACTACTACTACTACTACTACTACTACTACCACTGCCACAGTATCCATCTCCACAAGATGAAGAATCTGTGTATCTGTGTTGGTAGTACTAGTAGTACCTTTAGTAGTACTAGTAGTAGTAGCTACTACTACTCGTAGTACTTCTACGTAGTATTACCTCGTGCACTTCTACTCGAGAAGCAGATTTTGTGAGTTAAAAAAATGACAATAGACAACTAAATTGAGTTCGTACCGGTGTCATAGTGATTGCCGGTTCATGCTTTCACTCGCCTTCCCGATGACGGATAATTGAACCCTTTTTGTTTTGTTGTAGACGGCGATTTTCCTAACGGAACCACTCTACTACCCCCAATAGGAACCTCACTCGTTGACACACGTCAACAAGGAGCACCATGGAAGCTACGGAGGAAACACGGTCTTCGATATCCGGTCCATCGGCCCCTCAGAATTCTAAGGATTCTGTAGATGGAAAGATCAATAAAGGATCTAGTGAGGTCAAATCTGTACGGAAAGACGGCAGTCCAAGTCTAGATCCTTACATTGGGAAGCTCGAACGGTACGAACTATTTTGTACCAACCAAAGTTATTATCTTGTAGGATGCAACAAACAGAACAGCCAATATCGAGTGATCAAAATGGATCGAACACTCATCGAACGCCGGGTTGCAGTTGACCAAAATAAAGGGGGCCAACATCAGCAGCAACACCAACACCAACAATCTACACAATATGATTCGAACACAACCAATGTCGTCAATGCATCCGATGCAACACATTCGAGTGTGTCGACTTCATCTACGGCTGTGAATCAAGCCGTACTAAATGATGCCGCCCATAATTGTAAGCCGACGTTAAGAAATTTGAAGGAATTCATATACGAAGATCCAAATGTTTATAGCCAAAGCGAGATTCAAGACATGCTCGATATGATTCACGATGGAAATCGGCTGCGCAGAGAAGATCGGCGTGCGGTTCCAGTAGAAAGTGGGGGGGGAGGCCTCAAACCAATTGCTAAAGCCTACGGTATCGTAGGGTTCATCAAATTTTTGGATTGTTACTATTTGACATTGATAACACGAAGAGCCAAGGTGGGAAGTATCGGGGGTAATGGAATTTATACAATTAAGAGCACCGAAACCTTTCCCATCAAGCCCGCTGAAAGCGTGAATGGAGGAACAGGGAATGGTGACATTGATATTCATGCTGATCCCTCATCGGTGTTGCTCAACATGTGGAATCGGGGAAAAAGAAGTGTTGGACTTGGTCTCACAAACAGAGAAATTGCAGAGTTGCGATACCAGGGGCTTTATCAGGTTGTAGACCTGACGAAGAACTTCTTCTTCTCATACACCTACGACTTAACGAGAAGTTTGCAAGAAAACGTTTTATCCAACACAAGTAAACCGTTTCCTCCGCCGCCGTTTAAGGATATGTTTGCCTGGAACTACTTTTTAACGAGAGAATTAGAGGAATGCACCGATTCGCTTTCGAGTTTTCACTGGCAGATGCCAATTATTCATGGTGCCTTTGTTCAAAGAAAGCTTAATGATTACGGGCGGTCTCTCAATGTGATTCTTCTCGCGCGAAGATCTCGGCACTTTGCTGGTACACGATACTTGAAACGAGGAGTGAGCGAGCAAGGCAAGGTCGCAAATGATGTGGAGCATGAGCAGATTGTGCATGATGAATCCAAAGCGGTTTCCAACGGGGTTTTCAGCTCATACCTACAAGTACGAGGTTCCATACCTACTTTCTGGACTCAGGAATCATCTGTCACAATGCCAAAGCCTCCCATCGAGTTGAACCGAGTTGACCCCACGTACACAGCAACAAAGTTACATTTCGAGGATCTTTTAAAGCGTTATGGCAGCCCCATTGTTGTCCTCGACCTGGTTAAGCAGAGTGAAAAGAAAGAACGCGAAGTCCGAGTTGGTAATGAATACCGCCATGCTATTGACCACTTAAACCTTAGCATAGAATCCGATGCTCATAAAATTCGATACTGTGCTCTTGATTATTCTCATATCAGCAAGCACCGACATTTGGACGTCAGCACGTCGTTGAATGAGGTTTCGACGTGGGCTGTGAATCAAACAGGATTTTTTTGTAGCAATCCACAATGGAAGATCAGCAAGGGCGGGAGCATTGAACCCTTCAGTGAAAAGGATTGTCAGGCGGCTTCGATCTTGACCGAAAAAGTTGGCGTTCCTACATTTGCAATGGAACAGACAGGAGTTCTCCGAACAAACTGCATTGAGTGAGTATTTTCAGAACAAAATGTCATGATTTCCTTCTATTTTGTTTCGCCCTTGGCATTTGACTTGAATACGGAACTTTGACTTTTTCAAACTCATTAAATCTCCGTTCAGCTGTCTTGATCGAACCAATGTCGCTCAGTTTAGTGCCGGTGTCGAAGCAATGGAGCAGCAACTTGTTGTAATGGGCATACGATCGAATCCAAGGTTAGATCCTTCGTCTAATATTGTTCGTGTTTTGATCGACATGTATGTTGATATTGGAGACCATATTGCTCTACAATACGGAGGTTCAGAGGCCCACAAGAAGGTTACCGCAGAAAGGTCTGAATCTATTGCTGGTCCAATCGGAAAGGTAAGATTAGCTTCTCATTTCGAAATAATTCTTCTTCATAATTCAAATTATTCTCACAGACCTCTTCTCTCAAACAGCACAAAGAACTTCTCACTTCGATAAGAAGGTACTACAGCAACGCATTCACAGACCGCTTAAAACAAGATGCGATGTAAGTGACAAACAATATTACACCAAATGCATTGTGGTTTGTATCTCACCATTTTTTCAAATGAAAGGAACTTATTTCTTGGCTATTACGTCCCGTACCGCCATAAAATTCCTCTATGGGAGATGGAAACCGATTATTATCTCCATAATCTTGATGTAGAAATTGGTAAAGAAATGAAAGGATACCAAAAAAGCTTTGGGGTTCTTGAATGGAATAATGATTTTGATTCTGACGGTAGTGAGCGTATCTCGGTTAGGCGATCTCGAATTGCATCAAAGAAACACCCAAACGGTACAAATTTGCTGGTTCCAAATCAATCTTTAAAGATTCAAAAAGTTCGCGAGCGATGCAGAACACAAAACAAAGCATTATCGGCGTGGTGGAAGATAGCACTTCAAATCAACATACAGCAGCGCATGGTAAGTCAAAATTCATTTTGTAAACTTCACCTTGAATTTTCACGATCTCAATAAATAAATTTTGGATTAGTGGATGCATCTTGGAAAGAGCCCTTCAGAGTCTATGCTCCCGCCACGTTTTGAACGGCTGTATCAGCCTGAAAAGATGGCACAGTTTGATAGGTTTTTTGCCAGGTCTTGGGCAACACCAGTGCGTAGAAGTCATTCAGCCCAGCATGGTGGTGAAATCGATGAACAGGTGTCAGAGTTTCGACGAAATATGTATGGCCGATCGATAACCCCGCTGGCAAATTCAAATCTGAAGACTAATCAAGATAAATGGCAAAATCCTCCAAGCTTAGATGACTTTATTTCATCCCATGGGTTTGAGGCTCAGGAGCGACCAACATTAAGTAGGTTTGTACAGCAACATGATATTTTTGACGACGGTACCAAGTCGTTCAGACCTACGCTATCGCATGATGGATCCCCTTCATACCGCTACGTCGGTGATACAAATTGGCAAAATGAAAGGACACGTGATGAGTATGTTAGGTGCGTCAAATCTTCCGAAAAATTGCAGTCTAGTAATTATAACCATATGGCGTTTGACGAGTTCAAAAGCGCATTGAACGCTATGTCATTGAATGCAAACGACGTTCGTGGAATATACAACCTAGCGGAATCGGGTCATGTCGGTAGACAAATAAAATCAGGACTTTACAAAGGGCTTGACCGAGACTTCTCTGCTATCGACGTATCAACTGTAGTCTTCGAGCAGTTGAATGCCTATGACAACATAAGTAGTCGAGGGGAGCTACAGGAATGCATTCCTCTGATGAATGCAGAACTAAAGCAAAGAGGATTTTACACTGACGGGGTCAAAGAAACTATTGCTGATGGCTGGAAACGGCATCTTGAAGCTGAAAAACAATACCGCGAAATTTGTTTTGGGGGGAGCTCTAAATTCAGACGCAGCGACTTGACAACACCTAATTCTTTGAAGTTATATGCATCATTTTACTCGCCTGATCAAATTATGACAACAACCGATCTAACGGTTCTCCTCGGAGAGACTTTAGAGATGACTGAAACGATGCCTAAACCAGGCCATGCAGATTTGTCTGAGCGGAAATCTGAATTTGTTACGAGGGCATTCAAGAAAGGAATTTCTATTACTTCCCACGAAGAGCTCGCCAGAACACGAAGTCAACCTCTCTTCCAATTTGAACGAAAACGGCCAGTTCCTGCTGGTTTCGAAATGATCAACACAGATTTATTTGCACGAAAAGAGAATCAATTTATGGTGTTTAATGGCCCTGGTGTCGACAGCTGGGATGGAGCGATACCTAGGACAAAAACATCTGGCATTGAGCAGATGCTTTCAGATGCATTGCGATAGAGGCAGGAACTCACAAATAATAATAATTTGGAAAGGAATAAGACAAGCTGTGGTCATCTAGTCTGAAAACAAAGTGGTGCTAATTGTTTTGTCAACAAGCATTTCGATGGTGTACGGATGTCACGCTCTCAGAATTTGATCCGTTGCTCTTAATAGGTCGCCCCCCGTCACATTATGAACGAGGAGTAGGATAGTGCAAGCTTATATATCCAATGCTATCGAAAATGTACACGTCGAACATATTTTAAAATAGGTCCTAAAAATATTATGAATTCCCCTTAACTTTACAGTTCGGTCCCTGGCCTGTACACTCAATAATACTTCACATTGCTGCTTCTGTGAAATTCGCTTTTGCGAAAATACTGCTGTGTCGATTACAAGTCGTCAAATAACGAGCCACCTTCAGATCCATAAATTTCAAATGCCTCTGTGTTCAAACTATCCGTATCTTCCTTCCAAAAATTGTCATCAAATTTTGTGTTCACATCCGACTGAACCCTCAACGCATCAGTAGGAGAGAATTCATTGGGAAAATGCCCCGCCTGATGTTTCTGCCAGTCGTAACGGTTATCGATATGTAAAGTTTCACCAGTGTCGTGAACGCATCGAGGAGAAAAAACAGCGTTACTGCTTCGGTACGATGCAGAATCCACTCGCCGAAAGTAACCAATGTCTGATTCTTCCCAATAAGTTTTCCTCACATCAGAGTCCCCAGGCCTCGTTGTATCAAGATAGGTTTTTCGACTCCGTGATTTGTTCTTTTGCTTTGTGGGCACAATACTTGTTCTGTTTTTCGATTGAACGCGATCAAAGGACGAGTCAGTCAATTCACTTATATTGATGGGATTCAATATAGATACAGGTGCCGACGGCTTAATTATTCTCGGCGGCGAATCAATCGAAATTGAGTCGTTCAAAAGTGATTGATTCTTTCTTTCTATTTGTCTTTCTCGGGATCGAGAACCTGATCTCATTGACTCATCTCTGAGCTTGCATTCTGTTTGAGTGATCATGAACTCATCTTTGTCTCTGAGTATAGAGTCAGAAATTATGCCATTGTCTACTTGCATTGCCAGCACTCGATCGGTGACCATCTCTGACATTAGTTTATCTTGCCTATCCATCTTTTCACGCTGAAAATCTCGGTTTCCTTGATCAGAGTTCATTATCGGCAACCTCGAAGCTATATTTCCATTATCAAAACTGACTGATGAATCCATACTTTGCAAGTTTTTGCTCTCGTTGTTGGTCGCTTTTGCTCCTGAGATTATGTTCTTTACCAACTTTTTGCTACTCAGAGAAAAAGTTTCGGAATTATCGCTCTGCCCGAGAGGTGGCAGAAATGCATGTTTCAATACGTTATTTCTATTCATCCCGCCGTTGGAAGACTCCATAAAAGCAGAATCTTCGTCCACTAACGACGCCGTTCTGGCTATGGCGATATCTTCTTCGAATTCGTCATTTTCTGCTTGGATTTCCTCCAGCTCTCGTACTCCGTCGAGGTGTTCTCGCCTTGCTTCAACTTCTACGAAGAAATTTGGTGCTTCTTCATCGTGATGATTGACAATGGTACCAATTTGGTTCTCCTTCCAGACTTTGGTTGTAGTTGGATTCTGTTCATCTTGGCGTCGTGTCTCTTCCCTGTTTCGACAGAGCATCGGATTGTGTCCATTTCGGAGTGAAATTGCGGAACAAAGAACGCGGCGCAAAGGAGCCCCGTCGTTTGAATCTTCTGGATCTTGTGAAACAAATCGCATGATCCTGCCTAGAGGATGGGTAATTGTTCCGATCGATTCTTCAGAATCTCTACTCAAATCAGGGTAACCATTGGTCGTTGAAGCACCAGAATCCTCTGATTCATTCAATTTGGTATCGTTTGAGTTTGAAACTTTTTCGCGTTCCTGTAGGCAACTAAAGGCCCCACCTTCAACCATTTCGTCCACCCAGAATTCCTTTGTTGAGCAGTTGGTTTCCAGCGTGGCTAGATCTAGGTCCATATCAGGAACGGGTAATGCATCACCAAGACGCTGTTCCGTGCTTTGTTGCTTTTTCTTTGGGTTAGCGTACCTATCGTTCGCAACAATACTACCGTCGTCGTCGAAATCTTCGTCGAGAAAGTAGGGGTCCTCTAGTTCGAGTTCGTCACCATGTTCGTTGCGATGATGGCTGTTTTCAAGTATGCTGTTGGAATTACTTTGGTACGAGAAGTTGGCGGATGTATTTCGACTAGAACTGGCTTTGGATCGCGATGATGAATCGTGGGAACTATTGTAGGATCTCGTTCCTCCCGGAGATTCCTCGGACTGGAAGGACGTGTCTGTTATGGTGCCGGTCGAGACCGAACTCCCTTTCGTCTTCGCATTGTTCCTGTGGAAACGTTGCGATTTGTTGTGTTCGGTATTGTAGCGGTTTTTGTTGTCGCTTATGTCAAGCCCGTCAACATCCCAATTGTTGGCAACCATTTTCGGTCCCGGTCCCGGTCCCGCTGTAATACTCTTACGATTTTTCATATGATTTTTGAAAGGAAACCAGCACGATTTTTGCTTTTGGACAGCGTTGGCCCCCTCTACAAGGGAGACTTCTACCATTGTCAAGCTTTTGGTTTCGCTCATCACCATTTTGACTGGAGTTTGAGCGAGGCGCAGAGAATGGAATCAGAGTTCTCCTTCCGTCCTTACAAATCGATCGGTGTATTAAAAGTTGCCGCCGGTGTATTACTATCGCATAGACACACACAGGTAGCATTTTTTAATCTCACCCTTAATGTATCGGCATGTACATACATGCACGGAAGATGAAGTGTTGTCCAATAGCAGCAACATACCTACGGTACCGTTTTTCTCCTGTCGTGCGACCATTTTTCATTCTCGAATGAAAATACCTTTCTTCCTCAACAGTCGTGTAAGCCTCAATTGACGTTAAATTTGAGCGCAAGCTCGAAACAAGAACTGGTGTAATGGCAATGAACGACTGGGGTGTAAGACTGAAAACGGGAGGGAGATCTATTTGAAAAATCTAGATCGGAAGGTCCTGAAGGGAAATTATGATACGTATCATACTAACTTTAGGTATGATCCAAGAATGAAACTCCAAAATCGAGAGCGCCTGGCAAGAACCAAGAACCCTCTTGATTATTTACTCGGGATTTAGCCTCACAGGCTCACGTCATGTCGCATTACTAAACAATGGGAACGTGCATCCTGGCCCAGGTACCGGTAGATTTACTGGTGTTTTCTTTTTTAATAAATCGCACCGCGAGCTCCTCCGAGTAAAATTGTCAAAGACTCGTTTTTAGTCCGATGCTGGCGTGAAATTTGATCGTTCACACCGATGTTCAGCAAAAAAAATTGCGCCAGCGTTTCGTCTTTTACCTACAATTTCAGCGGTTGGTCTAGGTAGATGTTTCTCTGGGTCTCTTCGACTAATTTGCATGAAAAAGAAACACCCTTTGTGACATCGTCACGTGTGCAGCTCGATCAGAGATTGCTTTGGCAGAGGTCTTGTCCTACCAGGAGCCCTAATGCACTACGGCGTTGGACTCAGACAATAACTCGAATAAAACGAAATTGGAGTACAGTGCGCACAATAGAACGAGAAAGAGAATTGGTACAGCAAGAACAGAAGTGCAACAGACAGTCGGGGCGTCGTGGATTCGACACTACTATTAAGACACATTGTTTCTATCCTTGAAACAATGAGGTTCTTTCAGAGACGCAAAGATGGTATGGGTGTGGAGCAGCAAGGATCGGCTACAGTCGCTTTTCATCCTGCTCAGAACGTAGACTCTAAACATAGCCCACCGCAGTACCATCACGGTGATGGAATTCATTCGTTAAGGAAAGACCCGTTCGCTCCACTCACCCAAGAGGAACTTCGGCAGTGTTCGAATACGAATTTACACGATATAGACGATAAAACAGAATCTACTATTGTGGAAAACGAGTACCCTAAGAATCGTCAATCGATCGGTCGACTGGTTCGGAAGCTTAATTGTTCTGCATCGCGGAAAAGCATTCATGGAGTCGATCAGGACCCTATAGCATTTACAGATAGAACGGGGAGTCTATTCAGCAACGAAGGAGGAATGAATCGCGCAACGAGAAGCGACGGCCTCACACTAGAACGGCTCATTTTGCCCTCGAAAAGCATTGAATCCGCTGCCTCGTCGGACATCACTAGGCCCGTTCTAATCACAGTGAAAGACAGAGACACAAAACAACCTTCTACAAAGGATGTTCGGGACAGAAGCAATTGTGTCACGCCGGAGATGAAACGCAGCTTTGTGGTTGGGGAATTTCCTGTTCGGACATCCTCCTTTCGCTCGCGCTCGTCCGCTCGAAAACGACTCCACGATGTCGATTATCACAACAACAATCTTACACGCAGTGCGAGTGTCAGTGGTAGATGGGTCAACAACGGTGGTAAATGGGAACACAGCAGCGGCGGCATCAATAGTAGCAGCAACAGCAGCAGGAGCAACCCCAGCAATAGTCCTATAAGGACAAGCAGCAATCTCAGCAAGAAGAACACTGAGCGAGATTTGGAGGCGATTAGGGTCGCACAGGATCTAGCTCGGAGAGAACGATGGAAACGCGGCCTGGAAAATGAACTCTATAAGAAGTCGTCCACGGCAGCAGGAAGGTCGAACACAAAATCCAAAGGACCAATCGCAGCAGCCAAGAGATATATCGAGGGGGAGAGCAGCAACAACACCGAAGACGACCAATCCCTTTCCGACTCGACTCAGGGTAGCCATACAACCGGGACAAGTGGTTACGACGACACAACGGGTGAGTCGAGCAGTCTCGACGAGTGGACCGATGGTTCCACCACGGACAATGACAGCCGTGTCTATCGCTATCACCAAGATTATCCACAACACCAACAACGCCAATACCGCAAAACAAAATCCGGGAGGCGGTGCATTAACAACGAGCAGCTCGCTCGGAGTGTGGCGGAAGACGTCGGGATCTTTGCGGACTTGATCTTGTCAGATGGATTTGCGTGCTTTGGGACAGCAGCTGCTATCACAAAGGAGACGGTAGCGAGCTGCAGGGGAAACGACGTATGATTTTTATTTTTTATCAATCTAATGCGATCCAAAAGTTTCTGCTACTTCCACAGTCGCAGATTGCTTGCGCACAATATGAATTACCGCATGTTGCACGCTTCAGAAATTCTGGAACTTGATCGGAAACAGTAATAATTTAAAGTAACAATCATCATCAATATGACCTTCAGCTTGTTTATGGCTCGTAGTCCGTTCTCTGTACCATTTTTTGTTTCTACAGAGCCTTTTTCATTCAAGGGGTAGGAGAAACATTCTCTTGGCTAAAAAATTCCGCTGACTAAATGCAATTGAAGATCGTTGTCCTATCAAACTTGCGTGCATCGTTCAGGTACTATTACAAAGATTGGCCTGGCTATTGTGTCAAATTATGCAACCCAAGTATCTGTTTTTGCAACTCTTTTCTGCAATATTGTGTTGTGGCTGGTATTCAAATTGCAGTTAAAATATGCACGATAATGCCAGTCGGGTTTTAGTCCATATAGAATCATGGAAGTCGAATAGATTTAAAGAGTACAAAAATAGTTGGCTGAAATTGTCCTTCTGGAGCTTGGGAATCCTAGGGGGGTTGGGGTGGAGGTAAACACGAAAAGGATGGTATCAAACTCTTTTTTAGCCAATGCAATTGACGACATGGTCCGGCACATGAACCAGTTCAAGTTTGGGACTAGAGCTGTCAAGTTCTACGCCTTTGTGCTGAGCAAAAGGTAGGACAAACTGTCAAAGCAGAACGACGAGCCACAGGTCTGGTACATTATACGCTGAAAGAGATTCATGCATCATCTGGAAGAACAGGCCAAGGAAAAGGCATAATATGCAGAACTGAATACTACTATATTTGTTTTATAACAACCAAACAAATTGCCCAGATATTGAGCTTGTATCACAAAATAGCTGCGAATTGGACGTCGTTCCTTGTTGTTCTTCTTGTTGGTGAATCTTATTCGTCGCTCCGAGATACCACCCGGCGACTGCTACCCCGAAGTTGTACTGGCGGTGGTTTTGGCGGTTTACGTCATTGCCATCGAAGGATAAAATTGTAAAACTTTTGACTTGATTCAAATGAATGGTTGACTGTTGCCTCGTAACTGCATAGTAGACTACTAGCATATCTTCTTCTGGGATTCGCAGCATTCAATCGTGTCGTATCGGCAATTCTTATAGTCTCAATGGTTAGTGCCAGCTTCTGCCTCTGTAGTCAACGTCCGGTATTCATCGTTCATATTCAACTTCCAATTTCGGGGGACCCCTCATCTGGTAAAGACCTGTCCATTTGTCGGCAGCCCCAGAAGCCGTCCAATCGATCAACACAATCAAGGATGGTATTACCTTCGATTGTTGTTATTATGCTGACATGCTCTACTTTCGTGGTGAATGATGCTCTTCTCCTGCCATTGCTGGTGGCTGGCTGGTCAATACGCATATTTGGTTGGCACTGCACCCTTGACAAACAGTGGCAGTTGCTTACTGACGTCTTTAAAATGAAAGGTCGGTTGTTGCTGATACTTTCCAGTCACATGAGTGTTTTGCTACACTGCTTTTCGATGTGCTGCAATACTTTTCGGTGTGTGGTGCATGCGTGTGTCTCTTGGCTGTGCTGTGCGTGTTTTTGGTTTGCTCTAGTCTGTTTCGTGCTTTTTTTGTGTGATCAGTTCCTACGCTTTTTTAAATAAAGCATGCGCGATGAAACTGATGGAGGCAATCCTTTATGTACTATGTACCGTACCGTACTTACGTGCCGTACTACAGTAAACAGTAGTACGTAAAAGAACAGCTACTACTGTATTTCTAATACTGTAGAATGCAAGTACTTGTACTTCATACCGTTACGTACTTTCGTACGTACATCAGCCTGGAACTCTACCATGATAGTTTCACATTTATTTTCTAGCGCGGTATGGCACGACTTGTTGAGCAACGAGTAGTCCACTTTAAATTTGTACTAAGCGGCAATTTCTTCKGACCAACTTCGCGCTATGATTCATACCGTGCATCTACCGCAAACTGATTCCATTACGGTGGCACGTACAAGAGGAATTTAAAGTCCGAACGAATAAGACTACAGTACGGTACAGTACGAACCTACACGTACGTACTACTGCTGTGTCGAGGACGGTGAGAAACCGTGCGAACGGAGGAAATGCGATGTTTCAGGTAGTAACAGAAGCGTAGCAGTTCCTGTTCCTACCGGTACCAAGTAGTTTTGTGTTGACACTGCATCAAAGAAATCCGAGCAAGTTGTGTTCTACTGGTTCAGTGGCAACTACCTGTACCGGAATGGAAAAACTGCCAACAACGCCAATAGACCAGCGACATTTCGAATAGTAGGGAAAGCAATATCTGCCTGGAGCTGGATCAAGAGGGATATCTTACCGCAGGACCAAATTTTCACTCGAGAAATCACGACCCCGAAACAAGGAGCTTCCACGTTCGTGTTTTGTACGGTACCACACCCGTTTCGACTACGCGCATGCGCTAAGACCGAAACGGAACGGAAACGTACCAGAGGTCGCACCTTGATAGCAAACCATCTGTCCGTTGTCCTCGATTCTGAGAGAGTTACAGATAGCAATCAACGATGAAGTGGAAAGTAGGGCAAACCGTCATGGTTCAGAGTCGGACATGGGCAAAGTGAGTGCGATTCGTTGCCGAGGCCACAGATGATGCCCAGATGATTGAAGGAAGCGTGATCCATCGATGCTATCGTGTTATTCGATGAATGATTCGAGCCGGTTTGGAGCGGCAACAACAACTCTGTATCTCATGTTCCCGTGTGTCTGTCGCTGTCTTTTTGATTTTGCTCGTGCCTTTCGCTCTTGCCTTTCGTTGTTGTTCTTGTTCTTGTTCTGATTCATTGCCGTTCCCAGCATCAACAAGCCCGGTGGATGTGCCAGGATTACAAAAATCCACACGGCGGAGGAGGAAAGCAGCTACGTCGAGGGACTGGACGTCAAGTACGTAGTGGACGGCAGGAAGGAAAAAAGCCTCGACCCGGCCATTGTCACCCCCTACGAGCACCTGGAGCGGGGCGGGCGAAAGCGGCGGGGCCGCGACTTTTTGATGAAGCGCGAAGAAGACGCTCTGCTCGAGGAACAAAAGGCCCCGCAGCGCAACAAGGCCCCGGCGAAGCAGGCCGCGCCACCGGCAAACGCACAAGGAATGGCACGAGCCGGAAAGGAAAACAGGTCCTCCCCGCAGTCCAGTCCAACGTGCTCGACCCCCGAAAGACCACCGAAGCCGGCCAAAAAGCCAAAGCAGGTGACCCCCATTCCGAAGATGGTCATCACCGGTAGGAAAATCGACGACGTTTCTCCGCTGATCGAGGATCTGCCGTCGCTCCGGAGGCCGCACACCAAAGCCAAGAGCGACCAGAAAGCCGAGAAAAAACCCGTGGCCCGTGGATTGGTCTTCGATGCGAGCGAACCAAGGAACCCGGGCGCGAAGGAGTCGTCGCTGCCACCCAAGAACGCTCACGCGGCGTCTGCGTCTGTGTCACATGCAAACAAGCCCCGATTGCCCGGGACGAAGGAATGTGGCAAGATCGACACGGTGTTGTCTCGGCCTGGTTCGGCCTTGATGGATAAGAAAGCGGCCGGTTTCGTTTTGAAACCTCCCCGAAAAGTTCCTCCATCCTCCACCCATTCTACAGATAACCCGAACCGGTGCCGTTCCAACCACAAAACCACAACCAAAAAGGCCGTTCCGCCCAAGAGCCATCCGCTCGGAGCATTCGGGACGAAACCCAGGCCCCATTTCAAACCGGCAACCGCCTCTTTTTCGCGGGTGACATCGGCTTACGACACCAAAAACAAAGCCGAGACAAACCGAAAGCCACTGCTCGACGTGTACCGAGCGGAGGTGCAAAAGGCAAGGGAATTCATGGACGAAATGGTGGGGCACCGTAGCGACAGGGACAATCAAAAGAAAGGATTCTTCAGTACCACGAAATCGTAAGTCTTCGACAGCTGATGGTGTGAATCTAAAAACATCAGATCAAAGTGGATCCATACAGTATCCATCAATTTCGGTTGTATTCTCAACCATGCCACTCTCTTGTGTTTTCCTCTTATTTTGGTTTCTAATCCACCCGGATCATACCGGCAATGTAATCAGACGCTACGACGAGTTTTTGTCGCACCTGTACAAGGTGTGGATCAAAATAGACGAAGAAGAAGTCAGCGAAGAGGAGTTCAGAGAAGTGTACAATACAATAGCCCCGAATTCGTTTACCAGCGAAGAACTTGACCGCCACGTTCAGAGAATGTGCGACGAGGGAAAAGAAGTCATGAAGAGCGACGGGATGCTGTACCGGATACATTGAGTACAACACGAAACGAAACGAAACATGCGAATGGCATCTCATATGCACCCTGCATAAGACGGTATCACCTGTAAATTTTAGTCTGGAGGGCTCGCCTCCACCATTCAAACACTGCCTTCTCGAAGCTACTATTATTGTATATATGTATCACACGTGTGACCTACTAGACGAGGAGGGTGCTTCAGAAGCACTTGTTTTTGTGATCGACTCTATTCGTTGCGGTTTCGCAAATCTATTTTTTAAATTTATTCTTCCGTGACCATGAAGTCCGATGGATTAAAATCGGGAATGGGAGGGGTCCAGGCGGGGATCGTCCTCCATCTTGGTGGGTGTTTGTCGTCCACTTTGAGTGCCCATTCCTTGAGATTGCTGCGCTTTGGAAGCATGCTGATGGCGTGCTTCTTCAGTTTCAGCTTGCAGGCAATCTCGTGGTTCTCCTCGTTGTGCTTCCGAAAGGTGCCGATGGTGTAGTTCCTTCTCACGGTTTCCCGCCGGGCGGTTTCCTCCTCGTCGGCGGGGGGCGGCTTGGTTTTGGGAGCGTCAAGAAACCCGAGCAGCAGTTCGAGATCGCGCGACCGGCCCGTGTCGGCGGCGGATTTTCGCTCCTTCTTTTTCACCTTGACGATTCGTTTCTTGGGGCCATCGTCGCTGAACCACCGCGTCGAGCCAATGGAGGACGATGCGGTTGCCACTTGGCCCGATCGAAGCGATGGCGACCACTGCAGCGGGTGTTTTGCGAGCAGGGGAACCACCGATTTCTCCAAAAACCGGGCTGTGTGAGAAGCCATGCTGTCCGTACGAGGCAACAACCGTATTTTCGATTGGTATTGGCACTGGAAGAGAATCGAGGAACGGTAGAAAAGATTGTCGGGAAACAAACTTCAAACGGTTTGGAATAGACACACACTGATCTCTCTTGTCACCAATCGATCGAAGCTGACAATCGCGATAGGAAACAAGAGTTGCGATGGAACCTCTCTACCGTACGGTATGCAACGGGTGTGGTCACCGTAGTACCGTGCCGTACCGTACGGTATGGTAACGGGATCCATGTCCTTTTGCCATTAGTTTTTTCAAATCCACAGATTCCCACATCCCCCGGACTTAAGTATTATGTACGAATGTACGATTGCGGTACTTACGTACGGTAGGTACGAGTACCGGTCGAAGTGCGGTTCGATGTTCGATAACTGCTGAACTTTCGCCTCGGAAAGCTGAAATGGTGCGCTACCATTCCATTTCGTACCAAAAGTACCAATACGTACCGTATGGTACGGTACACTGCATCGTACAAGCAAACATACGGCCAGTCGTGGTGGTGGTGTAAACCTGCAAAATCTAGTTGTCTAGTTGTTCCTGCCGAACGAGAATGTGCGGTACTCGTACTCGTACTACTTGGTACCGTAAGCTTGCACTGTACGAGTGGACGAGAAGATTCCCACTATCCTGAACACAAGTCGGCTCGTCAATCCATCAATGCGATTAGCGATCCATACTTTTCGAAACCAAAAGTGATCATGAATGCCTCGAAAGCACTAAGATTTTTGAAACGTTCGGCTTCCGCTCGCCTTTCTCGGCCGCTTGCGTCCCGAACCCCGGCACCCCATCGGTGCGGCACCGGTTCCTTTCTCGGCGCCCCGGTGTCGTCGGTGAATGGAACCAACCGGGAATTTTCGTCGATGATGTCCATGGTAAAGGAGCTGAGAAGTGCCTCCGGGGCGCCGATCGTGGACTGCAAGAAAGCCCTGTCGGAGAACGACGGCGACATCGAAAAGTCGCTGGATTGGCTCCGACAGCACGGAGCTGCGAAGGCGTCGAAAAAGCTCGGAGACAGAGACGCCGAAGAGGGTTTGGTGGCATGCATGGTCGCGGAGGACGGAAAGTCGGCGTCGATTGTCAAGATTTCTTCGGAAACAGACTTTGCCGGGAAAAGCGACGCGTTCGTTGGCCTTTCGTGCCACGTTGCGGGTGCGACACTGAACAGCACCTCACCAGGAAATCTGGATCCACAATCCGATGTTCTCGACCTCGAGTTCGAGTCAAAATCCGTCAAAACTGCCCTCGAAGATGCCATCGTAGCGATCCGTGAAAACCTGGGGGTGAAGCAGGCCGTCAAAATGACCACCGGAGCCGATGGCTTGCTCGTGGCGTATGTTCACGGCAAAGCGAACGGAAGCAACCACGCCGGGTCGGCGGCCTCGGTTGTGGAGATTTCGGGAGAAGGAGTCACAAGCAACCCAGACGCTGCCAACGAAGCTGGAAAGAAGCTAGCCATGCACATTGTCGCCGCAAAGCCTTCGTACCTGACTCCCGAGTGCGTTCCCGAAGACGTTGTCGCGAACGAAAAGGCGATTCTAGCAGGCCAGGTACGTTACACACCAAACATTCCACCTTGTTTTGTGTTGGATATCTCTGCACTGCATTCCTGCATCGATCTTTTTACGTCGCCCCCTCGCAAATGGTTTGTTGATACACCTTTTTTTTCTTCGTTCCGTCGTCTTTCTTCTCCTCAGATTGCCGACTCGAATAAACCTCCAGAGGTTGTCGAAAAGATCATCAGTGGCCGAATCCGGAAATTCTATTCGGAGGTTTGCCTGACTGAACAAGATCACATGGTCGAGGAAGGCAATGCCAAAGTCTCCAAAGCTTTAAAGGAGAAAGGACTCGTCGTCAAATCATTTGAAATATTCTCCATCTAGAAAAACTTCATTTGAGGACGAATTAGGAAGTTTCTGAAACATAATCTTGTTTTCTTCGTGCAATCCGGTATGATCATGATCCAATAGCATAGTGCATTAATACCACTATCGATGGTACTAGAAGTAGTACTGTCATAATAGCATTAGTAATAGCTTCTTTCTTGTAGATCTATGGTACTAGTACAATATTTTAAAATGAGATTAAAAAAGCTGGCAACGTCAGGTATCACTATGTTAGTAATATGAATAACTTTAGAAGTCTAACAGAGGTGTTAATTGTTTGCACAACATCATGATACTGCTGTTCTTGGTATTGTTAGTACTACTACTACTACTACTAGTACTACTACTACTACTACCACCACCACCAACCACAAGAAGAAGAACAACAACACCAAGCAAGAAAACAAAGACAAGAAGAAAAAGCAACAAGAAGAAAAACTGCCAAAATTGTTGTACACCAAGAATTCTTACTATTCTTGTGTCTCCATGATTTTTCTCATTTGTGATAACACTTTCTTGTCAAAAACTGCTCTAGTAGTACTACTAGTAGTAGTAGTACTAGTAGTAGTGGTTTAGTTTCAAAGAAATGATTTTTGTTTGGGTGAGGAGGAATGGATGTGAAGATGGTATGGTATGGTACGGTACGTACGTACGTTGATTTTTACCTACTAGAACTCGTCTGGGTTTGAAAAGGACCTGATAACTAATTACGGTACCCTACGTAGAGACCAACTACGTAGTGTCTTTACATCGGTTCCGTCCGAAGTTCCCTCCGAACTTGGACTATCGCCTCGCTCGCGCGAACGGCCGCGGGAATATTTTTGAATTTGAGATTAAAGACTTGAAAAACGGTAAAACTATCAATACAACACGGTATTCAAAAACGTATTGAGTAGGAAAAATTATATTTTTCGCTATGAAAGAACCGAGATCTAGTCTCTCCGATCACGAGTGCGAGTTTCTCTGATATTGATTATGTGAAGTAACATTCAAAAACCAGTACAATCATATTGAAATAACTATAGCAAAATGACAATGGTAGAGGACGACTTTCCGCCCTTTTTGATGTCGAACGAGGACACAACGCAACTGGACAGTGCGAAACGGTGCCTTTTTCCCAGAGAAAATGATTTCTCAACAAATTCAATCTGGGGGGGGGTTGATACAATTTCGAAAGAACACGATGATACTAATCAGAAGATGGTCGGAAAGTCCGCAGAGCAAACCAAGCATTCTCCAATTTCGGTGGTGTCCGTCCTCAACATTGGATGTCCTGTCCGGGGATTTCACAACGACAAAAAGTTCGATGACTGCACTTCTTCATCGTCAACATTATTATCCCCATCACCGGATTCGAGAGCGAAATCCGACCGCGATGAGGTCGAAGAACAAACTGTCATTGAGGTGCAATATGTGGAATCAGCACGTGTGGATCGCGATATAAATTTCGACGCAGATTCGGTTGAAGAAAACCAAGTTCCGTGTTCCAATCAAAGTAAGCGTGCAAAGACTCCCCTACGAAACCGAACAAGTATTGAACGTAATACCATCGGAGATGCTAGAGCTAGGCCCTTACTAGATGTTGAAAAGACTCCTTCTGGATCTGAAACAAAAAAGAAGAAGAGTGTCACGCCCTCGCCTTTGCTAGGTTGCGGTGGCTATGGGGCCTGTCTTCCTTACTGTGGAGATACCGACCATCAGTTCGTAGAAAGAAAAATCACCAAGTTCCTCGAAGACAACTCTGTCTCGACTCCAGATGCATTCAAAACAACATGCACAGACTGGCAAGCTTGGTCTTATTTTGGATTTGCAAGTCCTGAAGATTCTTCTAATAATTCACCATCGAGGGAAAGCATAAGAACAACATTAAGACGTCGCACATCCCATAGCTTGAGGTCGCGCAAGTCAAATGTCAGGCAACTCAAAAGAAATCTGGCACCGTTTGCTCAGTCACCTGCTAGATCTCCAGCAAGAGCTCCAAGCCTCTTCAGAAACCGTTCTTTTTCGGTATCAGACCATCGATCTGCTATAGCGCGTGTTTCAACGGATAATAAGCCAAACAGAAAGAGCTTTTCAGACGTATTTGATCTGTGCACTCTGTACGAAAAGGTCGATTTAAATTCGCAGGACTTGGTCTGGAAAAATACAGATACTGGTTCCAATGAAAACGATATTTCTTATGACAGTGATCCCGAAGACTTCATGCGTAGGCGCCCAACATCGGAGGCGAAACGGCCTGCTGACAATAACATATCACAGTCTGGAGAGGGTGGAAGTCCTTGCTACTATCAAAACTCACCGGGGCGTTCGTTTCTTGATCCGCACAACGACGAAGTGTTTTCCAACATTGTACGAGAAATGTTTAACCAAACAACCACTCTTGTTTTACATCCTGTATCTGAGTCGAATACTACCGGTCAGGCTTTATTACAGTCGGCTCGACCCATAGCCGTGGATGCCTGGTTAGAACGTGGTCAACACCTTGCTTATGCTCTGATTCAACCTAAGTGGATCTGGAAGGCAAAACCAAAAATCAATTCTGAAGGCCAATCTAGCGTTTGTCAGAAGTTTTGTCTGCAAGGTATTGAACTCCTGGATATTACGAAAATATTGAAGGTAGAAGAAACTGAAGGAGTCAGCCATTCCCTCGCTAAACCAAGCCATTGTTTCTTTATCAAGTCTATCCACGATGAAGAATTTTGTTTCGAGGCGAAATCGAGGAAGGAACGAGACCGTATAGTTAGCTCTCTCAAATTGCTAATCGCCCGGTTTGGAGCAAAGGTGCTTACTGGAGACCCTGAAGTCTACTATGAATTCTTTTGGATGACTGATGGAGTTCCTGGTGACGCTCCAGATTTGCTCGAGGCCTTCGGATTGGTTGAAGCAGAAGAGGTATCTTTTTAACCTTTTGCAACATCTCCAACCTATCATGTTAGAAAGTGTAAATTATTGTCATGAAAAGAGTCAAAAATACGACTTACTATCTTAAAGAGTTATTTTATGATCAAGCTATTATATCGTTGTATAGCATGCGTGCCATCTTCTCGGTCTGATTCGGAATCATCGGCAAATTTGGGATACACTCTTTTATAAAGACAAAGACATACCGTGTCGTGCTGTTTGATCGGGGCGTTGAAGAGACATTTCATTGTTCCATGCTCACCAACGCTCTGTTCGATCTTTCCATTCAACCCATGTTTTGTGGTCAACCCCGCAGGTTTGAACCACTTAACGTCTTCTGGGTTGCTAAACATATACTTGACGGAAGCGAAGCGTTTGTGAACACGAACCGGGAATCCTGTCAAGATGATTCTCTTTACTATGGTTCTATCAGCATCAGCACCGATCATTGAGCCGAAGGCGACAAGTTCCTTCGTCCCATTCATCGTTCTGAAGACGAGTACTGGACATGGTGTGTATGTGACGGGTCCATATACACTAGCAGCAAAAAAGCTTCCTGCTTGTGGCATGTAGCGTTCGAATTTGTGTTTGTCACAATTTAAGTTGTTCTGGGAGAAAATAGGCCGGCCGGTCCACGTTCTCCATCCGCAACGGAAAGTCAAAACATCTTTGCTTTTGACAGGAACATCTGATAGAGACTCATCCCTGCAATTCGAAAGCCCCATATGCAACACAGACACTTTGTTCTCATGCGGTAGAAGAGTGGCTGCAGATAGTAGAGGATTTGCTCCTAGTTTCTTGTAATCTTCAGGTTTGACGTTCTCCAAAACAATCGTAACATAAGAACCTGTAGGGACACAGCCTTCGAGATACTCTTCGTCTTCGTCACCTTCACTGTCTGCTTCCATTGCATCTTGTGGTGGCTTTTCAACACTTTTTGACGCGTGTAAAAACTTCCAGTCGGATTTCTCGGCGGTTTTCACTAGATCTTTCATATCTCCCATGATATCCCTTTGAGTACTCTTAAAGCTTGAAAAGTGATAGATTGAGGCATAGTCGTCGGGAAGGTTTTCCTTAGGGTCCCAAAAAGACTTCTTGAAGCTCTTTAGGTAACGGTACCGAGCAAAGCGATCTCGAGCGTTCTCGTCTTCATTCACCTGTACTTCGTCGGGGAATTCAGCATGCTCTTGCTGTTGTTTTCTCCTTTCTTCCAACAATGCTTGGCGCTCTTCTTCTGACACTTCGTTCGCATCGTCGAGGTCCATTGCGTTGCCACCAGCTACAGTCGCAGAAGATTTTTTGTTCAATTCTTCGGCTAGTTCGCCATGATCCAAATCACCGCCTTCACCATCGTCCAAAGCATCTAGCCAAGCCGATTGATAATCGGACCATCCAACAGGCCTTGCAAATCCACCTTCTTCTGCAATGTCCTTATCGGCAGCGTTATAGTCATCATCGTCGTGAAACTCTTCATCTGCCTCGTCAAAACCTACAAGATTCTGCTCCCCATCCAGAGCATCTGGGGCAGCGAAATTTTCGAGACTCTCACGTTTCATTGGATCTGATTCTACAACGTAATGGTTGTTGCATCCCATATCTTGGTCACCTTTTTTGTTTTTCCTAATTCCAGGTGCCTCGGTTTCCATAAGACCTTTACAGGAGAACGTGCCGAGATTGGGAACATGAATGAGTGCATTGACATCAAAGGGGGCGATACCTCTGACATAACCCGTCAATTTAAGTTCTTGCGATTCTGTTATATACTCGTGTGTATTAGATAGAATGTATGACCTGGGGAGTTTCGATACCCAATTCGGCGGCGAGGCAGATATCGAGCAAATACTTCGAACCAATGACTCAACCAAGATTTTCTTAGAGTGAGCTTCGGGATCTACAGTGACACCATCTTGATCGTCCGTCATATTATTCTCGTCGTTGGTTTTCTTCAGATTGATTTCAATGACCTTGTCGTTGTCAACTCCGAATTCTGTGGTAGCAAACCTGCTCACGTATCGTTTGACGTCTGACTTGCGCTTCAAGTTTGCACGCCGAATACTCTTCGCTGATTGTGTTGTCATGTGGTCAAAGTCGTCGTCATCCTCACCAAAGCCGGGTTCAGCCTTTGTTTTTGCCAGAATGGTAACAACACGCGGGAGACCATGCGACTTCATCGCCGAAAGAACGCGATCGCCGCGTTCACTGATCAAGTGGTCGAAATCCTGCGCCGTGGAGCTTGTTTTGTTGGTAGAAAAAGATTTATCGTCGGAACCACCGATGCTCATTCCAACAAAGCTCTCTGTTTTCTCTCCGTCAACATCAATCACAAACATGATCAAATCGCAAACGCGACAGAGGTCGAGTGCAGAAAATACAGCAGCATCGTTGGGCTGTTCCGAAGAATACTGGGAGCGAAATGCCGTGGAATTGGTCAAAACCGTAAGGTTTCCATCTCTTTTGTGTTTTTCAAACTTTGCGGTGACAGTAGAATCTACCCCGAAACCAAAGGTACGATCAGCTTGCTGAAGAATCAAGGATCGCAAGTTTTCTTCGGTTGCCTCGTCGTCACCCAAACTTATGATACCAACAACTCTGGGTGGTGCAGCTACACCGCCGATGCCACGCTTGCGTCTGACGAGTTCTTGACGCTTTGCATCCCGCTTCTGTTGCTGGAAATGACGCCGATCGGCCTTCGTGTGGGCTACGAAACGTCCCTTGAACGCTGCTCGTCGGCCTTCGATCTTGCCTCCGGCAAGTCTTGTTGCACTCCGCTTCGACGCCTTGTTCCGTTTGTTTCTCTTATTGGATTGTTTGAGCGGTCCGGAACGATGGTGATGGCTCGGCATTTTTCTATTTTTGTTCCGTTAAATTTGGATTCTTGCTCCAGCTGCGGAGATGCTGCTTAGATATGATCTGGCCTCAAGCGATGTTTGTTGAGGTGAGCGTACAAGAACGACGAGTTCTGTGTTTCGCAGTTCTTGCCGACAAAGAACATGAGGGTAGCAAAGTTCAGGTTCTCGAAACTCGAAAATTTTATCCATTTCAACGAAAAATCCGGCTTCTTGGTTGACAATCGTCTGGTGGCTACGAGTGTGACTTTTCGTCTGTCCTTCAACCTCCGATATAACTTTACGCAGAGAAGGAAATAATTACCGGTAGTACGCTACTCCTAATCAGCTATGTACCGTACGCACGTACGTACGTAAGTCGTAAGTACGTCTGAGTAGATTATGGCCGGATGAACAAAACGACTAAAAAGCACAGACGTTTCGTTCGACAATAATTCGATAATTCGATTTTTTCCCTTTTCCCATCTCTCCCCTTCCACACTGCAAAAACTGAGTCCAAGAATATTTCTATTACAGGCAGGTCCTTACTGCTGGGCAAGTAATTTTAGTGCTTGCTACTTCAGAATTTCTGATAGTATATTAATAATAGATAACCTCTTTTACTGCTCACTAGTTCTGAGGATGCTGCAGTAGTGAGCACTGTGAACTGCTGGACAAGGGGGTTGTTCTTCTGGTGCTGTTGGTGTTGGTGTTGGTGTTGGTGTTGGTGTTGGTGTTGGTGTTGGTGTTGGTGTTGGTGTTGGTGTTGGTGTTGGTGTTGG